GATAGTGTGATAGTTTTAGCTGTCTTCTAACTTCTCATTGACAGAGAACAAAGTCCCTATCTAATGGTAAACAAGGTCTGGTTTTTTGTGTCTCTGCTTCCTCTTTCCTTGCAAATAATACCACTCAACCACATCAGTCTGTGTGGTTTTATTTTCAAGACAGCTGGTTGTTTTTAGTACATCCGTAAACCATGGCCCTTTGTTAGATTTAATTGACTTTTGCAATTGTAACAACTTTAATCGTAAGAAAAATACGTATATAATTGAAAATGCAGTTTGTCTCTATCTAAGTGTGTCCAGATGGTAAAAATACTGCACAGGGGATACTGTCTGACCTCATCAGAGGTGCCAGATGTCAAGTTTGCTCACCAAACGGTAAAAAATGAAACATCTGTTCAAATGTATGATTTTTAAACCTTTATGTGAATGTTTTCATTTGAGCCCATTTTGTATACAACAAAAGTTGCTTGTGCAAACTTGAGGTGAAGACTTGAGGAACAAGGAAACCACAGTCAGTTGTTTCACCCGGAACATGCAGCGTTGGCATGATGATAAATGTGAATGTATACATGTTCGTGCTTAAACTGTGAGAAATTTACACCGCTATGTGCCAAACTGCTTCATTTCTAAACTGACAACACCTGCATGTGAAGCCCGACAATGTTGTAAAAAATCTAATATGACAAACAGGGAAGTAGTTTATGTGCGTGTTTATTGTTTTATGTATATAGTAGTATGAATATGGAAGTTATGCAGGATTTTGTTTTTCTCCAATTGTTTTCACTTAACTTGGTTCAAAAATTGTACCATTCAGCTGTAACACCACCTTAAAATAAACCTGAACATAAACAAAACAGTAGGCGGTTCCATTATATTAATAATACACACACACACACACACACACACACACACACACACACACACACACACACACATATATATATGAGTGTAACAGCAGCGCAAGCAAAGAAGACTTATTAAATCACCAGAATAATGCTGCTGTCACATACAAAACCAAGTATTACACTGTAGCAGAAGCTACATTATGTTATAAAATGTTGTTTCAAGATAAAAAATCAACAATTTTTTTTGCTTTAATTTGCTCTGATGTTCGTATTTCAATATAACATCAACATCTCTCACCGCTCTCATTTCATACATCCTTTTTGTTCTTTGTCACTGTAACAGTTGTTGTTTTACAGTAATTTAAGTGTATGTAAAAATGCAGATTTTTCTACAATAATACTCATTTTGCCAATATGCAGTAGGTTCATGTGTCACAGATATGGTATAAGAGCATGACTGATTTAGTAATGTGAGTTTCATCATGAGAAACTGACAACCACAGAAGAGGGAACTGCATTAATGCTGTGAGAACGTATCAAGTTCATTGTCTCACCGTGAACTGTGACAGAAACTGTCAGCTCAGACACAGGAAAAGTCTCATAACACTCTCAGTGCCAAGGTCTGACCTTTCATTTTGTGTGTGCTAGACTGGCAGAGTAACGGTAAAGTCCTTCCATTCTCAGAGGACTTTGTTCGTAATCGCCAACAGTTGACATTTTGGCAACTATTTTGCTTTAGATATAGAAATTAAAACTTAATACTTAGTTACTTCCACTTAATTAAAAAAGAAATTAAATGTACTAATAGCTATTTATCAAAGGGTGATTGTCTAGAATTTACACAATGTGGATTTTGTATTAATAAGATATTATGTATTTTTATTTATTATCATGCAAAATAATACACAATGTTGTTCCCTGAAGAGTAACAGACATTTTCAAAAACTTTCCAGGTAAATACTTTAGACTGACACTTCCTCTTCTTCTTCTTCTTCTTCTTCTTCTTCTTCTTCTATTTTTATCTAAGAGTGTTTAATAACCCAACATAAAGTGGCTCTCTAAACAACACTGACTGTTTTCAGTTCCTTTTGTCAGTCCACTTGACCTTTAACATTACATTCACAGCAACACTGAGCAAAGTGTTTACCAACAGTTAACTTCTAAGTTCAGAGACCAGGTCTGACAAACATGAAAAGTTCAATATATCCTTAAAAAAAAAAGACGAGTGAACAAACAAATATGAATCTGCATATATTCCCCGAGAGGTGAAAATATTAACTGGGTTAACAAATCAGGCATGAATAAGTGTCTTTGAGCAGATAAACCTCAGAACAGCAGCGTCACGAACTTCTCATGCCACCTTTAAGCGTGTGAAGGTTGTGAACTTCTCTCTTCTCAGGTTAATAATGCAATCCATTAACACAATCAACAACAAACAAAGCAAAACAAAACAAAACACAAAAGAAACATACTTCTATCATGAATGTGTAAGACAGCTGGAGAGAGATTCCTTTAAAATGACTGAAAGTATTGTCTGGTCGGAGAAATTTAAAAATAGGAAATGAAAAATTGCAAACTCACAAGTCTGATGGATTTATTTCAACTAAAGTTTCTTCACGTTTGAAATAATCAGCACCTCTCTGGAGGGGTGTGTTTTCCTTCTGTCTTTTAAATTGCAAAACCATAAAAACAACACTACATATATATATAAATAGCTCCTGCAAGTAAATCCACTTAAATCGTTCTCATTTGTGCTGGAACGGATTTTCTGCATCTGTTTTTGTGCATGCATGCATGCGCAGTCATTTAAAGAAGTCAGTGTGGGAACAATAAAATGCAGTTTGACAGTCGTCAGCAGGTACCAGTCATCTCTGATCTGGTCATTGCAAGGTCAGGAGGCCCAGACAATGTTGTGGTTGACTTCTTTTACGCACAGGAGAAGGGAAATTCCTGATCACCTTCAGCTGCAGCCTGGCACCAAAACCCGTTTTCTCAGAACTGAAACTATATGATTCATTATGCTCATACAACTGAAAAACAAGTGGGCACGCATGAACATTTGAACTCTCAGGTGCCCAACTTCAAATACCATCGACTTGTGAGAAAGTAGACACAGCACTGTGAGCGCCCCTCATGCCCGAGTGGCTGCTGTTCATGGTCACACAGTAAACAAGCTTTCAAAATGAGACCAGGACAGAGTTAGAAATGCTTCACATGCAGATTTCCTCTCAAGAGATATCACAGATGTTGTCTTGCTGCAGGAGGCTGGTTGCAGCCTGACACCTTTTCAATGTAAATCTTATCAAGAGTTTCTGCCTGTGAGACGCTTTTCATGGTTTGAAGTACTTTCGGATTTCACGTGTGAATTTCTCCGCTCTTACAGTCTAAAAAAACGGTTGTTTCCTGTTGCATTGGTCGTCTGCGTTGGTTTGTTTTAAGATGCCACTTGAGTGTTTACTGGCATGATTAAGTGCTACTTGTTTCTCGTTTTCACCTTCCTTTTTCTGGTTGGGTTTTTATTGCAAAACTCACATATGAAAGCAGGACGTGATAAATTTCTTCATATTTCATATTTCCAGTGGAGTTTTGCAGAGGACCCTGCAAGATTGTATTTTATTTTTTTACCCCCCTTTGTAATGCTTAGAAGACACGCAGTGGAGCAGTTACTGGTAGACTTAAAAGACAGAATAAAGCCTGAGAGGGAGATCAGATCATTGCAAAAGGCAGACAGTGCTTTTTTTTTTCTTTTTCTTCGTTAAATCAAAGTGATAACATTGCCTTTGTCAGGAAGGATATGCTTGTTTAGTTTTTTTTTTTGTTTTTTTTTAAAAATACAGTTGTTGAATTAGTTATGGGAGTAATTATAAAGCTGAACATTCTGCAAAATCTGGAAAAAAATATTTAGGCATTTTTATTTGGCATTTTGAAAAGAAATGTGCTTTGACCTGTCTTTTTAGCAAGTCTATTAAATATAACTAACCCATCAGCATTGAGGAATAGATCAGCATTTATTTCTTTAATACTCACATTTTTACTGTTCCCTTAAAAACCTCACAATTACTGTAGAAAACTGACTCACCTACAATAGATAGTCCTGCATTAGGAAATTGGAATCTTTTGGAATTGTACAAAGATTACTTTTTAAGATAATTATTTTCAGGATTATGGAGAATCAATTAATCTGTTTTGCAGCCCTTGAATATCAGCATGTCAATAAATGTGGGGTAATTACAAAACTGAGATTAATTCAGATCTTTTTTCAAGTCTTCACTAACTTCACTTAAATTTAACCCCCCCATTATTTCAATATTCAAATAAGATAAGACTTAAATTTGATGTTTGTCTTGTGCATTCCATTTTTCAGGACTGCTGACCTGTGTTTCAGATGCAACTTGACTCTTACTGTAAGTGTTGATTACTGAATTAATTATTGAAAACCTTACTGTCAATGCTTGTAGAGTTCTGTCAGTTATATAATTAATACAGTTATGAATGCACTTGGTTAAATGCACTAATAAAATTGTTCTATTGAAAGCAAAACTATGATTATAAAACAATGAATTCATAATTTGTTTAATCATTAATTAACTGTTATTTTGGGATAAAATATCGCATCTTCATTAAAACAAGGAAGTTTTATTTTAATGAAATCCCTGATAAAACTGTTCTTACAGAAAAAAAATGCTTTAATACACACACACACACACACACACACACACACACACACACACACAAATGTTTTTATGTCAGCCTTTATTTTTAAAATCAACTTCATCATAGCAATACATAAAACACTGGGAAATGTTTTGTGCATTTCTAATCACATCATCATTAACATGCTGACTTCAGTTTAATGCAAATTGTCAGTTATGCTACAAATGTTAAATGATTCCTCTAAAATGTGATGAAAAATGTAATCTATTAATGCTAAATGCAAAAATGTTCAGATTTTTGTACAAACAAATTATCAGTAGATTCTCATCTATACACTCTACCAATCTATATAATACAAAACTAGAATAAAGGAAACATATGACAGAGGAAGTAATGCACAGTCTTGTATTGACTGGGAAAAAAAATAAACAATCGCATCCACAAAGCTTTCCCTGGTAAATGATCTGCACAAAATCGACACAAAAAGTATGACTTTAAATTATGACTTTACCACCCACAGATTTACGGAATAACCTTCCTTCTCCTCCTACTTCAACATCTGAAGCTGAGTTCTCCCACTTGTTGCAAAGCTCTCTGAAGTGCCAGCATTGGTGAAAGAAGCTGATGAGTTGTGGCTGTGCAGTAAATGTGGTTTTCCCAGGCAGGTCTTCACCATGATCTCAGCCTGTCGCCTGAAGTGATGGTCCAGGAAGAAGTAAATGGCCGGGTTCACGCAGCTGTTGAAGAAGGCCAGGCAGCACGAGATCAGGAGCCCATTTCTTTTCCACGTATCACAACTCAGATCCGCTTTTGAGAGCTGTGAGACAATTATGATGGCTTTAAAAATGTTGAAGGGCAGCCAGGACACCACGAAGGCCACTATGATGCAGAGGACCATCTTGAGGGAGTGCCTGCGGCGGGCTTCAGCTCGAGGGTTTCCAGCAGCAATGCAGTGCTTGTTGAGGTGCATGATGATGGTGCCGTAGCAGAGCACGATGATCAACACCGGGAAGACGAAGGTTAGGAAGGCCATGGTCAGGCTCATGCCGAAGAAAAAAGTCGAACTATTATCTTCCACACAGGACTGCCCTTGGTCCAAAGACTCCACTCTTCTGTACACCAGAGACGGGATGCCAAGCAGCAGGGAGGTCACCCAGACAGCAGCACAGGTGGCATGCATGCACCGACTGCTCCTGAGGTACCTCGAATCCATCAGCTTCACTATGGCCAGGTAGCGGTCGATGCTCATGCAGGTGAGAAAGAAGATGTTGGAGAAGCGGTTCACAGCAATAATGTAGCTGCTCAGCTTGCACAGTACATCCCCAGCCGACCCAAAGTTCCAGTAGCCGTCCTGGCTGGCAGAGATGGCCCACAGTGGCAGCGTGAGGACGAAGATGAGGTCGGCCAGGGCCAGATTGACAACAAAGGTGTCCACCAGGCGACCACTTTTCCTGCCTTTGCTGCCCACGACCAAGATCACAAAGAGGTTGCCCAAAAATCCAGTGAAGAATATGAGGTAATACAGAACGGGCAGGAAGATGTTGGCACCACGAAGGCGTGAGTCTGGACAGTCCAGGGTAGACCCAATGTCGTATACTGATGATCCATTTTCAGTGCTGTTTTCATTTTCGTAGTAGTAAGTATAGTCAGTATAGCTGATGTAGTCGCCCATTGTGAGAGATAACACAGATGATCTGCAGTGCAGCTGTTGGGTTGTGGCAGGTTGGTTGGTTTGTCTAACCATGTCATCACGCTGCAACTCAAAGTTACAAGAGAAACCACAGAAAAAAATAGATATCCTATTTCAGCTCTCCTCCTCTCAGTGCTCAGTTCTGTCTCCTGTTGTTTGTTTGTGATAACTTCCGCACTGTAACCTTTTCTCAGGAGATTGTAGTAAGTCACACAAAAAATATAGTTTTATTCACTCATTTGGAAAAAAATGTCCTAATTTGAAACTTAAACAACAGTAGCATGATGCTGTAATATTACAACACATCATTATGGATACAGTAGACTGTATAAAGGCTAACAGGGAGCAACTTCTGCATTTGAAGTATATAGCTCTTGATCTTCTCATAAATTCTCATAAAGTGCTGAAACATTTCACACACTATGTTTGCGCACATGGCTGCTCCACACATAGAATATTCATTATAAGAAGAAGACAGACTCTTTCCTTGACTTGCTTTGCATAACAGACAGATGCTGCAGAAAGTATTTTTTATTTATTTTTTTGCTGTTGTTGTTTCATAGTGAATTACATAATCGTGACCAATAGGGGGCAGGTAAGATTTACTTGTGTTTTAAATGTGGTGACCTTCTACCTAAAGTCAGACCCACTGTGCTTCCTGAACAAATGTCACAGATCTTCTGCAAAATAAAGAGTTCCTTTACATTTGTTAAAACATTTTTCTAGTCCAAACCAGGCAGGAGGCACTTTCTGACTTATGAGATCTGATTTAGTGTTGTACAATCCGTTTACAATCTATTTACATATTTATATTTCCTTATAAGCATGTGTATGTAATGTGCAAAGAAATCATGTGCATCTGTTTTTCTGTATCAAATATGGTCATCTTTGTTTGATTTGAAAATGCAGCATTTTCACAAAGTTAAATTGATACTAATTGTCATCTGCAGGTCACAGTCATAAATGCACAGTGACAAACAGCACCAAATCAGCAGGACACTACACTTGATACAAAATTCTGCACAGCAGTAACTTCAGAGTGAAGATGCAGCAAAGTGCTTTCACTTATAACCCTGAAATGTGCCAATGTCAGTGTGAATCAAATATGTCTTTTTGCATCATTCATCTCTCATCAGTGTTTCTTCCCTTTGGCCACAGAGTAGCTCTGGCTGCACACACCCTTTTGTCCATGTCTTTACTCACTGTTACCTGTCAGACTGGGTAATTTGAACTGGTGACCTTTCGGTTGCAAGTCCATAATGGCCAGTCTCAGCGCTGCCTCTGCAATGAAATGAGAAAGTAAAGTTGTTGACATGAGTTTAACAGCATGAGTCCTGGGGTTATTGTGCTAACTGTCATTTTGTTTCGCCACAGTGTAGTTTTGCGATTGTTTTTTCTGCTGACTCCAATATGTGAGTTATCAGCTGCATGTCTGTGTGTTTGGAGGACTAAGTTCTGGCAGTTTCGTCTTTTTTTCTGGCTGTTAGACAGTTTTAAAAGATGAAAGGTAGAGGGGTTATGTGGTATTATATGCTGTAAAAACAAAATTATCTTGATTTTATCTGCTGGCAGATTGATAAAAACTCCAAAGAGCAATTATAGCAGAACTATGTCTCTAGAACATCCTGTTGCGGCAGCAGAAGACGTGATGCACAGATCAAGCTGCTCTTCTGTCTGAGCTGCATGAGGGCACGAAAACCTGTAACCACCATGCAAAACAAGCAGAATCAACTTGAAACTCTGACAGTGTGCATCAGCGTCTGTTTTAAACATTTTTTTTTAGCTAAATTTCACAAGTGTGGCAGTCTATGATTTGCCTCATTCCCTCAGCAGCAGGAGCATTGATGAGATTTTGTTTAATGTTTCACTGGTGAAAGATAACAGATGCTGACAGGACTGAGAAGGCAGCCATTGTTCCAGAGAAGGAAACTGTCATTAAGACGACCTCTTCGAAGACAGGACAGACCTCGGGAGAAGTGAACTCCGTGGTCCGGCTGGTAAGCATCGTGTTGGGGCCGGGAAAAGTGAGGTTGGAGAACAGGCCAGGTCTTACAAGAGGCTGGAGAACGCTTCATTGTTCTGCGGGGAGTTTCAGTTAAGAAAGCACGGCGAATGAATGACCTCCTTATGGGATCCCTGCTCCACTTTCTAGCATTGTGCGTTATTCAAACACTCCTTTACTTTGTAGTGTCAAGGTGATGTGTGGATATACTCATCACAGCAGAAAATCCTGTCAGTCCTCATTGTTCGGTTTGACGTTGTTCTCCCCTTGCGCTCAGCTGTACCTTTTCCTTGGAAAAGTTTTAATTATTTCTCCTGCATTCTTGCTGCTCTGTCAGTGGAACGCTACATTCCTCTCCTCGAATAAGTGCTGTCTCACTCCAATTGAGCAGAGTAAATGTGAGAGCCAGTGAATGGAGCAGCCTCAATAGGAGAAAATAAACAATTGCATTGGTCCATGGGTGCAGCGGGGGAGAGCGGATGAGAGGAAGGGAGAAAGGCCTCCCTAACGTGCTAAGATTCCCATGGATACTTAGTCCTTTTTCTGTTTAGAGGAGGATCTCGTAAAGTACTTCAACAGTGGATGATTTCTCTTTTCCTTTTACTCTGTTTTTATTTGAGGAGAGAAAGGGTGGTATGCGTCAGGGTGATTGTTAGACATCGGGGGGGTCACATGCACACATGTGCGCACTCGTACGCGCACACACACACATGCACGCACGCACACACGCACACACACACACACACACACATGCACACAAACGTACAATTTGCTCCACACTTGTCGAGTGCTAAGTTTAAGAAAAGGGGTCCATTGTTTGGGAGTGAAAGGTTCTTGTTTTAGCAGTTTAACTGAATCAAAAGTTCCTCTGACACAAAGGATTGCACAGCCTCAGTCCTCCATTATGTGTCATTTTAAGTGGTTAGGGGCTTTTAACTGTTCCCTTTTGTCAAAAATGCTTCAGCATTTTAACCCACTTTCCTCACGCTTGATTTCTGCGTCATTTACATACAAACCACATAAAATCAGAGAAACATCTTCATGTCAGTGCCTCATGATAGGCGATGTACAAGATTACAGGGAGTTAAAGAGGGAAAATAAACTGGGCTCACTTAGAAATAATACCAAACATGTCCTCTGTGAATACGAGATGTCATGAAACTACAACTCCCAGGTGTGTGAACCTTATTTGTCGCTGGTATCAATTTGAAAACAGGGTACTTTTTTAGAAACAAAACTCACGGTGCATTATTGATTGTATTTGCATAATTATATCCAGGTGTTGCTATGCAGTCTTTTAGGATAATACTCAGTGGTGGTTGCTATGTACAGGCTGTTAGGTGGTTGCTAAGGTTTCACTGGGTAGTTACTTGTTCATTTCTCCATGTATAATGACCACTCATTAGTTCGATCAACAGTGAGCAGCAAACTGAGTTTTTGAACCTATTATCATTTGTATTGCCACTGACTGCAGTGTTTGTCCTGCAGCGGCGGTCAGTTGGTGTTTGTAGCTTTGAATTTGAATTCTGAAATTAAACTTTTGGTTTGTATGCAAATTGCTCAAAAAGAATAATATATAACATTAAATAGCAACTCTGTATCAGAGTAGGAATATAAATACGGTATCTTGTGTTCAGCTGACAGAGTAACATATTAAGTGGTGGCAGATACAAAATGTATTTGGGATTTTTACATTTTCAGAGAAAAGTTATTGTATTTTAAAGGTGATAGCAGTGGGAAGATGTTATTTTTTTTCACTTTTTTGCTTGTTTTTTTCTTTTTGTCACACAGCATCCGGACTGATTCCTGGTTAAAAGTGGAACCACAACTGAACGTAATTTGTTCTACGAGTGGGTGAGTTTATTTCATTGTATTTTTACTAGGTCAGGTTACTAGGTCTTGACAGCATAGTTGGCAGGTTTGTTTTTTCATGACTCGTCACTTTCAGAACACATTGCCACAAGCAGAATTTCCACATATTTTTTTTCTGACGTCTTTAACCTCTTAACATCTTGCTCCGTTCTACAGTCGCCTTTACAAATCAAGCATCAACATGTTGGCGAGACTTTTGCACCTGTACATGAACCACAGATTTTTTTTTCAATGTAGTGACGCTGTAACATTTTCTCAACAGTTCAAGAACCCCGAGCTGCTGCCTTAAACGAGATGATGAATGTTGTCATTTTCAAGAGAGAGAATATGGCCTGAGGATATCTGAGAGACACAGAAATTTGTGGCGCTCAGAAAGAGGACAGTAAAGTTGGTAACTCCAAATTTTAAAAACTTTTCATCCTTTGTGGGTCATCATGTCACTTTATTCCTTATATCATGTCTGTAGTCATGGTTTGAATTCCCAACAAAGCTGAAGCTTTGTTTTTGACTGATGGTGAAATAAGCTACAAGACTGAAAACTTTCAGTCAAAATGTGCAGGTTATCGTTCCACCTCAGAGCATTTAGTAAACACGCAGCTTAAACACTCAGAGAGTCAAGTTTCTTCTGATGACGCCATGGAAGAACTTAATGAGCAGATATGACAGAAAAAACCCTTTCAGCTGACTCGAGCTGGTGCTGGAACTCTGCGCGGTCATATGATTAAGATAAACACATTATTATAGTCCCTAGTGTGCCCTGATGTGATTTATAGTCTTGCAAACAGATGGCATTTGATATATTGTTGCATAATTTCAAAGCGTACCTCACAGCTCACAGGAAAAAAAATCAAGAAAATTGTATCTTCACAAGCAAGCAAGCAAGCAAACACACAAACAAACAAAATAAAACAGTTTTAAACTGTATTTCTTTTTAAACAATGCAAAGCACAGGCCAAAACTGTAAATAACATTCACATCAAAAATATATTTATTTTCACAAATAGTAATTCATCATTTGCCATGTTTGACTGTAAAATAGGGCTGCAGGGTGGCGCAGTTTGTAGCACTGTTGCCTCGCAAGAAGGTTGCCGGTTTGCGTCCCGGTGGGGGCACCGGAATCTTTCTGTGTGGAGTTTGCATGTTCTCCCCGTGCAGCGTGGGTTCTCTCCGGGTTCTCTGGCTTCCTCCCACACAGTCCAAAAACATGTTGAGGTTAATTGGTGATTCTAAATTGTCTGTAGGTGTGAATGTGAGTGTGCTTGGTTGTCTGTCTCTAAGTGTAGCCCTGTGATAGACTGGTGACCTGTCCAGGGTGTCCCCTGCCTTCACCCTAAGTCAGCTGGGATAGACTCCAGCCCCCCTGCGACCCTAGTGAGGATTAAGCGGTGTATAGATAATGGATGGATGAACTGTAAAATAACATTTTAATTCTACTTAAATCAGCAAAAAATATAATTATTTTTACAGATATTTGAAAAAACAAACAAACAAACAAACAAAAACATATACCTTAAGGATATGAGATAATTTTTAAACTATTATTTTACATAAATTCCATTTGGCTTAGTTAAATTACAGATAATGTCTAATAAAAAATGATTTATATCTTGACTGTAAAAAACAAAACAAAACAAACAAAAAACTGGCTATAACTCTACATAATGTCCACATCAAAGATCTGTATGTTTAAAACTAGTCATTTGTTCTTTTCTCAGGTGTAACCATAAAATTACACGGTAATCTCAGTGGTTAAATTCACTAAATGTACACTTATTTTACTGATGTTCAGCATTTTTATTTATTATTTATGTATTTATTTATTTTTACAGTTTTTGAATGTCACAGTATTTCACTGTTATTTAACATATTTCTTCCATCGCTGTCAGATTTTCACAATTTGTCATTGGATTTTTATTTTATGTTATTATTTATTTTTTACAGAGTAGATCACTATTCAACATATGATAAATAATTCAAAATTTTAACTTTTAAATATAATCATTGTAAGGCTTGGAAATAATATGGGCTAGGGTTAGAAAAAGAAAAAAAAAAGAAAAGGATTGGCATGAAAAGAAAAAATGGCAATGGCACTTACTGATGTCAATACAGGTTTCACCTTTCCAAATTTTTGCAGAGATTTGTGATCTCTGACTACAACCTTATATTATGAAAACAAAACAAAAGCACGGATTTGCTCTATGTGTAATGTTATTATGTCAATGCAGATTTCAAATTTTCAAGTTTTTGCTACTTCATGTAGAGATTTGGGATCTGTGACTGTAGTCTTATATTATAAAAAAATGCACAGATTCACTGAAAAGATTCACCTTTTAATGCATTTTTTGCTTGATAGCTGCTTAGCAACAGGTACCAGCAGCCTTGAGTCTTATACATACACAAAACATGCATCATTAGTGTTTATTCATTAAATTCTCATTACATGCACAATATGAATAAAGACTAAGTAAGCTATTTCTTCCAACAACACAACATTCAATGGTGCACTAAATGCTAGATTGACTTAATTATCATGTCATTGTAATTACGTACTTAAATCTGGACACAAATGAGGCACAACAGGCCTTTGCTTTGCGACATTAATGTCATTGGTGTTGAGTCGTAACAAGCAGTTTTATTACTTTTCATTAATGCTTTACATCAGCTCCAGTTTATGACCCATTCACACTGCCTGAGGTTCATTAGAGCCACACTGTGTATTCCATCATTAATATTACTGTCATGATGTAAACACGCAGCTTCTCACTGTTTTATGTTGTGGGGACAAAGCTGTATGTCAGACGTTAATCTGCACGATCGTGGCTGTTTTGAACTAACGCCTGCCATAAAAATGTGCATAATGAATCACGAGAAGGCGGCAAAACTGCAGGGAGATAGTTGATAGTTTAAGTAATAAATAGTGACAGTTTCACATCCTCATTTTGGATGATAATGATGATGAGATTATGAACATTTGTCGAGGCTCAAGATGAGACCAGTTGGTTGGTTGACAGGTATACTGGTCTTACTGGACTGGCCTTGTCTCCCAGGGGGAAGTTTTTTTTTGGAGCAGATGGTTGCCTCAGTGGGCCGAGTTGAGTGTCAGCTAACAGTAAATGATCTTCTCAGCGAGGGGCCGACATGCTAGAGCTTGTCCTTGTAAAGTGAAGAACAAGGTTGTACCATACTGTAACAAAGGATAAGACATTGCTTTCTGATTACTGTCGTGCAACGCAGGCTGGGATTGGTTGTTGACATTGATCCTTCACATTTGGCTCGAGGAGAGCATCTGCTGCTGAGTCCAGCTGATGAGGTGGGAGATGATCTGGTCCCAGGGCGATCGCAGAGAGATGAAAGTCTCAGCTGTGGTGTTCACAATGACGGAGCTGATCTCCAGGGGAAGAAGAGCAGGCAGGTTCTCTCTAAAGTCGGTCTCATGGACTTTATTCGTCAGTGTTTTTCCTTGTATGATTAATATGTTCAATATGAAAGGTCGTACACTTCCATGATCATGATGAGCTGACTCAGCAGCCGTCTGAAGAAGTCAAAGTGCTTCACCTCGTGCTATGAGTAGGCACTCTGCCTCCCTCGCCCTGTTTTGTGTCATGCAGATTTCGTTCTCAGGTTTGTTATTAGCTGTGCGGACCTGTTCGCATTAGGAGTGTTTTGGGTCAGTAGGTCAGAGGACAGGCTCAGCAGCACCTGGGGGACACAGAGTTCATCACTCAGAGAGCCATTAAGTGGCAGAAGGCTGGACCCCGACTAAAGACAGGCAGCCCGTCACCTCTGGCTCTAATGGGAGGTGATCAGTGAGAACATGCATTTGCGTGTTGAGGTGTCGAGAGCTATGATTGCGTGCAAATGCTTTTTTTCAGGGAGGCAGAGGGCAGGCGCATGCACAGCATGAGCATGGAAGTATTGTTGATTTAGGATAAGAATAGTTTTTTTTGAAGAGAAAGAAAAAAAGCGGATTCAGAGGTAGGCTTGATGAATGTGTTGATGGTGGCATTTTGATAGGGGTAATTTTGACCTGACAGGGCCCAGGCTCTCTCATGAATCAAAATGTGTCAGCCAGGCGCTGGAGATGGAGGGCTGCTCATTGTGGCTCTGACACCCATGTGAGGGGCTGAGGCTGCTGGGGGTCAAGTGTGACACCTCATTAGGACGATGTTGATTTAGTGTGGCCACAGCGCAACAGACCTCCTCCCATGGGGTATGGAGAGGCGTTTGAGCGAGGGGGTGGGGAGCACCTAGCACTGGACGGAGAATGGGGGCCTACTGCTCTTCATCCGCAAGGCCGTCATCCGACAGCTTGCAAATCATGCACCTACGGCCGATCACACTGCCCTTCCCCCTCTTTAATTTTCACCCCATTCATAGTTTTTAAATATGCATTTCCTGAATCATACACACACAAACAAAAAAATCCATGTGTACATTTTGGGGAAGGATTTAAATGTGTGACTGAATCAAATGTTTGTGTGTTTTCTTTTAAGGTTTGGGGCTCTGTTTCGATCAGTTTTCCCCCTCAGTGAACTCACCACCCCTGACAGAATAATTTTGACCTTTGACCTTTGATCTTTCAATTTGAAATTGTTTTCCGTAATGTCAAGATTGCTTCTGACAAGCTGCAGTTGTGCTCTCAGCTCAAGTGCAAATGGCCATTTGCTAATTTTAGAAATTAGGGGGTTTTGCAGGTTGTCTCTTAGCTTGCCTTCTCCTGTTTCACATTTGCATCAGCTACATTTTTTCAAGCTCAATTCATTTACCAGGAAAATGTTTACTTCTTGTCTGACAAACTTTGAACATTTGCCAATTAATTGCTTGTTTCTGTTTCCAGCTTCACTCCATCTGCACCGAGACTCTTTTTGTTATAAAGTCCTCACATTTCATTGTCAAATATCTTTGCTGAAACATTTTTCAAGGATCACTACATCATCATGTTTGAATATCAGCTCCTGACACGTTTAAATGCATAAACTGCAAATAAAGTCAGAATGATGCAAACCTCAAAATGTAGCTGGTTTTTGACTGAATTCTGAATTTGAATTAATTGTAATTTTTTCTTACTTCACATGAGGATATCAAGTTGTAGATCCACACCAGGGTACACTAATGAATACCAACAGCAACCAATGCTGATTTGAGTATAAATATTTGTAACTGCACTGTGTGTGAATGTTTGATGTGGACTAAGATCTATTTTATTGTTGAGTTTAAAGGTTTCTTATGAGGCCGAAGTCATACACAAATCTAATCTGATAGTTTTGTAGTTGAGAATTAAAATACATTTGAACAATGACGGCAGAGAGTTGAAGGGATCCGTGAGGACTGAAGTCTGTTTGAGACAAATCTAAACTTTGACCTTTAGCTGTAGTGCCCCC